AGGTCACCCTGTTTAATTAAATTAAATATATTGAGAAATATTTAACATTTAGGTAAAGCTGTATAAAATAAGAAATGACCACCTAAAAACTCACCATTCAGGTTAAGAAATAAAACATTATTCAGATGTAGCCTTTTGTGGGTCCCCTCCGTCCTTAACCACACTCACCTCCTTTCCTATCTCCAACCCAAGGGTAACCACTCCCCTATATTTCGTAATTATCATTTTCATGCATTCTCTATATTTGACCATATAAAATATGCACACATATTCATATACATACATACATACATATGTCAGATTTGTTGTTTTAATAGAAACTTGAAGTAAAAGCAACTATCAACTTGATCAGTGTGCAACTTATTCTTGCCAGTTCTCAAACCCAGACCACAGCATATTCTGAAGTCTAGTTTAGCTCTGTTTGCTTAGATTTGGATATGTTTACTGTTTTCTTTGTTCATCATGCTATTTGATGTCTCAGAACTTTACTCTGGCATTATTTTCCTTCTTCTTGAAATTTACCCATTAAATATTCCTTTAGACATAAGAGTCTCTTGGGAAATAAACTCTGTTTCTGTTGGTCTAAATATAACTGTTTTTCCTCATTATGAAATGATAGCTTGTCTGTATATATACTTCTTGGTGGAGAGTTATTTTTCTTTCAGCACATTCCATGGTTGTATTAGTTATCTACTGCTGCATAACAAATTACCCCAGGCCTGCGTGGCTTAAAACAATAGTAAACAGTTATCTCTTTTTTTTTTTTAACATCTTTATTGGAGTATAATTGCTTTACAATTGTATGTTCGTTTCTGCTTTATAACAAAGTGAATCAGCTATACATATAAACAGTTATCTCTTACAGTTTCTGTGGATTAAGAATTCTTGAGTGGCTTAGCTGAATAGTTCTTTTTTTTTTTTTTAGCTGAATAGTTCTTGATCAGGGTCTGCCATGAAAGTTATAATCAAACTGTTGGCCAAGGCTACAGTCATCTGAAAGCTTGACTGGAAGATCTGCTCTCTAGATGACTCACTCAAATGACTGGGAATTTGGTGTTGTTTATTAATAGGAGGTCTCATTTCCTCTTCATGTGGGCTTCTCTACAAGATTGCTGAAATATCTCCATGACATGGCAGCTGGCTTCCTCCAAAATGAGAATTCCAAAAACAAAGGCAGAAGCAGCAATGTGATTTATGACAATGTTCAGTGCTGTCACTTCTGCTGGCACATACACCAACACTAAGTGTTAGAGGGATTACACAGGGGCTGGTTTATCAGAAAGCAGGGATTACTGAGGGTCACCTTGAAGTCTGGATCCCCCAATTACCTTGTGACTTTTATTACTGCTGCTGAGTAGTTGGCCATCAGAATTTTTATGTCTTTGCAAAAAATATGTTTTACTCTTGCTGCTCTTATAATCTATTTGTCTTGAATGTTCTGCAGTTTTATTTATTTTTATTAATTTTCTTGTGTTTCATTGTGACCCTTGAAAATGAGAAATCATAACTGTCACTAATCTTCCCAAATCTATAGTCATTATGTTTTTGAAAATTATTCTTTCTTACTTTCTCTAATATTACTTCTGGTAATCCAATGGGACTAGCATTACTTTCTCATTGTGTCATTAATGTCATAATCTTTTTTTTTCATAATTAGTCTTTGTTTTTCTGTGGTGAAATATGATGATTTCCTCATATCTGTTATTCAGGTCCCTAATTTTTTCCTAATTGGTCTCTAATTGTTGTTTAACCCATCCATTGATTTTTTTATTTTCAATGATTTTTTATAGTTCTTCCTTTTCCCCCCACAACTGCCTCATTTTATAGTATTTTATTTCCATTTCATTTTTACGATTTCCTCTCTTATTTATCTAAATATTTAGGCATGACTATTTTTATTCTTATTCTGTGGATGAGAGTATTTGATGTACTCTAGACTCTAGCTATATTGTTTTGTTTTTAACCCTTCCTGACTCTCTGTTGTTATGGCTTGTCATTTTTTGCATAGTTCCATATTTGATTTATCTAAATTTGTTAGAATCCTAAAGGGATTATGTTGAATGCTCACTATTTCAGAGAGTGTAATCCTTTACTTTTGTCAGGGCTGTGATGAAGAATGTTTATTGATTTATCTAAAATCTTTGGTGCTTTTAGAGCAGTGGAGTTTTTAGAACAGTGAATGAACATTTTGCCATAAAAAACAGTTTTCACTTCTTTCAATCAGTGCAGTTTGAATTCTATATATTAGGCTTCCAGGGCAACTTTGTTTAAATAAAGGTTACTTTTACAAAAATAATGTCTATACTATAGAAACACTAGGAGAAATATTTCCAAACTGAAAGGATAGAACTAGTATAAAAGGCAGTTTTGGACATCAAAAGTGAAAATTACATGGCCAGTACTACCTCATGACTTGAAATTGTTTGCATAACTGGAGAAATAGGCAATGTATGTCAATTTTATGGTCTCTTTTCCTTGAGCACCTATGGACTCAATTAGTAGGTAAATAAATTGATGTACTATAGGTTTTTACAAGTAAACACTTATGACTACTACAAAAAGACAATGGCTTATATTTGATTATTGGGCCAGCTTTCTATAAGTTGTTTCTAGTTGACAACAATTGCTATTGTCTTCCTTGTTTCTCTGTTCTACCAAACATTATACAGATAAGTGGGGGAGTGAGTTTTCTCTGGGTAAAAAGCTCCATGAAATCAGATGCAATGTTACAGAAGCACTCATATTTAACTAATTCACTGCCTCCATTCTAAACCCAATTCAGTTCAATTTCAGGAGATCCATGGACCCCTTGAAATCTGTCCATGGACTCCAGGTTATGATTTCCTAGACTAAATGAAAGAACATAATTAAGTGGATAAATGGACCAATAATATTACGTTAGGCATACTATGTCATTTTATTATAAGAAATAAAGAAAACATTTTTATATTCCATGATTTAAATATACAAATCATATTTGAAGGTCTACTTCATATACATTTTTTGACACAAGCTATGCAGAAATGTATTTGACTATTTGAATTGCAAATTTCTCTTGATATAAAATGAATACCTTTTATATTATTAGAAATAACGTTTGGAAAATGATTACAACTTTCAGACTTTTATCAGTGTTAAGCAATACTTTTTATCTACCTGTATAGTTTTTTCAACGTCCTGCTATAGTGCAGGGACTTAAAATGCTATTTCATATTTCTACTAAGTGCACTTGCCAGATTTCTTTGCTTTAAGTTATATTTCCTATGACTAAAGGGCTTTAGGAAAAAAAAAAAAAACTTTATATTTTCACATAATACCTGCTATACCTTTTTTATATTGGTTTTTCTGTAAAAAATACAGAGTATGATGATTATTAATTACCTAAGTATGAGTGGATAAGATTATTAATATTCTTTGACTACATCTGTAAAACTTCATCTTCCCTGTGAATACTGGGAGTTTGCTGCAATGTAATTATATGAAGACACTGATGCACAGGCATTGTAACATAAACCCCTATTGTAACACTAATGATAATCTTTTAATATGCAAATAATTTCAATTAAATACAAGCATAGAGTATTGCTGGAAGTGGCTTAACAGCTAGTGGTCTGACTAGAAAGAACAGTGAATAGTCCCTCTCCCTGATAACTCTCACAGACAGTAGATGTCCCAGATAACAAAATATTCCTAATGGAAATACTGACCCTAAATGAACTTCCTTTAATTTAGCATTTTGTAGCCTTGGAGTTTTATTAATTTTCAATTAATCCAGAATGGGCATTAAGACAAACCATGAATATCATCTCATTTACTAATTGTTTATCTGATTGTGCAAAAGCTGACTGAAAACAAAAAGTGCAATAAATAATGGTCAATAAATATTTCTAGTAGGTAAAATGTGAAAATAAAACAAAATTTAACATGTCACTGAGACAGAGGGAAAAAGAGAACAATGAAACTATGAGATAGAATTCTGCAACTCACTAAATATTAATAAAAATGCATATGTGAATTTCACAACTTAGTAGAGAAGGTAACTCATATGTACAGATTGCTATAAAACACATTAGAGTAAGTAGTAATTGTTATGAGAGTTTAGAGGAGAGGGCTCATATTTGGGACATCATAAAAATGACTCATGAATTTGTTACTTCTTGAGCCAAGTCTTGAAGGATGGATAAGATTTGGGCAACAATCAATGAAAACAGCATGTAGAAGGAATGCTGTGAACCAAGGAACAGAGGTAGAAATCCTAGGGTATTTCTGTGGACTAGTTGGTCAGGATGAATGGTGAGAGATTAAAGCTAAACAGGCCGAGGTCACCACACCTCATGGAACTTCTTGGGCACTTAACTAAAAGGAATGGTCTTCATTCTGTAGGCAGGGAGTAAAGAGCTGATGAATGATTTTAAATAAAGTAAGGCATATTCTGAGCTGGCCTCACAGCTATATAGCAGAGGCCAGTGGCAAAGGTGTTGTATTTTCAATAAGCATGTACCCAAGCACATTCTCAATCATTTATAAGAACAAAAGCACCAGTCTGAAAATCAGCAACAAATAGAAACACGATACATGTACAAATCATTTTTTATTCTAAGATGATACTGGTAAGTGTATAACACTCGAGGTTATAATAAACAGCACCAGTATATTTTTTTCCATAAAAAATAAAAAAGGAAACAAAACTCTACTCAACACATGAAAAGTATTAGCAGGAACTGAGAACTACTGGTAAGCACTAAGTTTAAAGCACAGACATTTAGTAGGAGGTATGTGGTGTACGTTGCTAAAAAATATGTAGTTAGTAAAACAAACAAAATCAGTTCTGTTTACTACTTGGCTGGCATAAATCAGTCTTAGGCATGGGTGAAGAACTGTTCTCAAGGATCGAGACTCTAAATATATAAGAATTCGTACCAGAGTTACCAGAAGATTATTCATATTTATGTAAGTCATATAGCTTTGGTTTTGTGATTCCAAAATGTTGAAACTCTTACCTCGCACAACAAGGTCAGCTGAGGCTGAAGAATTGTCCACAATTGTCTGAGCGGTGCACGTGTACCTCCCAGCGTGTTTTAGCTGGGCATTTCGGATGAGCAGCTCCCCATTGGAATCCAGCTGTTGGCAAAAACAGCAGTCATTCAAATCAGTACACTTTTTTCACCAATTAAATGGTATTTAGGACATGAGAGGTATATTTTCCCCTAACAAAATGAACACCTGTTCAAGATGTGCTAACTGTCTGTGTGTTCTAAGGTTACTTAAACTCTGGGCTTTGGTATCTCAAGTGAAAAATAGAGTGAATTACCTAAGGTCCTTTTTAGCTTTAATATCTTTAGTATTCTATTATTTATATAATCAGAGAGTATTTTGAGAGAAAACACAGGATGAAACTATTTCATTGATGTCTTTTTTTTTTTTTTTTTTTTTTTTTTTTTTGCGATATGTGGGCCTCTCACTGTCGTGGCCTTTCTCGTTGTCGGACGCGCAAGCTCAGCGCCCATGGCTCACGGGCCCAGCCGCTCCACGGCATGTGGGATCCTCCCGTACCGGGGCACGAACCCGTATCCCCTGCATCGGCAGGCGGACTCTCAACCACTGCGCCACCAGGGAGGCCCCATTGATGTCTTTTAAAAAGAAATGTGAAGGTCCAAAAATCTTGATGCTCAATATCCATGAAGATACATAAATGCTGTAGGGCTAGGGAGAATTATTAATTTGGTTATGTAAAACCAATCTAAACAACTAATTTCAAGACGTGCCACAGTTCATTTTACAAAGATAATAAAAGTGTGCAGAATGTGTCAAATAAAAGTGTCAAAATGGACAATTCTACTAACATGTTCTGTTTTGGCCAAATATAACCTCCTTGTGGGCAAGGATTTTTGTCTTGTTCACTGCTCTATTCCCAGTGCTTAGAATAGTGTTTAACATACATTTTTTTTTAAGGAGGCTTGAGGGAATTTTGCTTGTGAATGATAAGGCACCATCCCAACGCAATTTCTAAAAATAGCTAATATTTATAGAATGCGTCCTCTATACAGATCCTGGGATTCTATTCTGAAAACAGTCCTATGAGATAGGTCCTATTTTGTCCATTTTACTAAAGATAAAAGTGAGACTTAGAGTAGCCAAGTAATTTAACTATGGTCACGCGGTTTGCTTGGTTGGAGGAGCATAAAATAGTCCATGCTCATTATCTCCAAAATACTCTCTTAAGAGAAAAGTTTGGAAAACTCGATTTTTAAATAGACATTTGGTTTTCCTGAGAAACAGAAATATTGATTTACTATTGCAATTATAGATATCCAGATATCCAGATCAAAGGATGAAAAACTAATGATTAGGTTAATATTTCATGTAGTAGATGAAGGTATTGTTTCCGTTATATGAGAGACCTGCAAATTTTAATTATTTAATGACTATATGTGGAATAAATGCTCTGCTTCACCATTGGTTCTGCTGGTGGCCCCTTCACATATTAAATTCCCTGCCGGTCTTGGAAAATATTTGGGTTGTAATCCTTGCTTGATTAATAAGATTAATTAAAAATAATAGCTAGTTATCATCTGAGCAGATTGATTCAGTTGGTTGTAATAGAATACTACTATCTCCATATAAAGAACTGGTCAGTGGCCACACACCTTGTTCCTTGGTTTCAGTAATTAAAATCTCTGTAAAAATGAAACTAGAGGTCATACAATTTAATGTTAGTTGGGATCTTCCTGTCTCTTGAGGTCTAACATTGGGTAAAAATCCAGTTTCCAAGATTTCTTCAAATTCCTAAGGTAGGGGAATTCTTTCCTTCTGTTCTCTTGACCAAGGAGCTCCAGACCAACCTTTTCTTTATTTTGCCATGAAACCTACTAGCACGAACTATTCCCTAGTAAAGTAGGTGTACTAAAGAGTTAAAGGTCATGGAATTGGTTGTATCCCACAAAGTAGGGCAATTATCATCCACTGTATATTTCTATTTTTAAAAGTCCTGTTGGTCATACTTTTACTAAGGATTTCTCAGTGACCTTCACCTCCCTCTGTTCCCTATCATCTTGTTGGCAGTCACTCCCACTCCCATATCTTACCTCTCTCTGCTCTTCTCTTCTTTCCCTTGGAAACAAACAACTATTCTTCTTTCCTCATGTTAAGCTGCTTAATTATTGGATGGTTGCTTGGATTCTGACAATACTTCTTCCTCAAACACTTACTTTGTTTTTAGCTTTTGCCGTTTCTTTACCTCTTACCCCTCAGTCCATTTTAATCTGGTTCCCAACTCTTCAACTCATTTTACTTGACTTCTAATAGCATTTGACATTCCTTCCCCAAACACCTAACTTTTCTAGTCATCTGTGACAGCACATTTTCCAGAAAGTTTGAGAAAATTCTTAACCTCTCATCTTCTTCAACTTCCTTATAATTCCATCATAAATTATTGAATTTATCCTTTCCTTTTCTTCAACACTTCCTCTGTCCTTGTCCAAGCTACCAACATCTCTCACTGAACTACTATGTCCTATTTGGTCATGACCCTCACCCCTGTCCCATCTATTCTTTTCTCTACTTAGCACTCAGGGTGACCTTTAAAAAATGCAAATTATGATCAAATCATCCCTTTCTATAAAAACAAACTAAAACCTTTAAAAATGTTCCACTTCTTGGAATAAAAGCTGTTAAGTGTTATGATAGTCAACTTGGCTCCATTCTCTAAATTCTGTCCAATATTCCAGCTCAACTAGTGCCACCATTTCACTTACACTCTGCTGTCCAGAAGAACATTCCCTTTTTAAGACCTTAAATGTATCTTGTTATCTCCTATCTCTGGTTCTCCAAGGTGTTTCCTTTCCTGGAATTTGATCTCTTCACACCCCACCCTCTTACCACCTTCATCTACATAACATTTACCCTCCCCCACCAATATCAGTTCAAATCATTTCCTTAAGCAAGTCTTTCTATTTTCTGTTGTTACATTTTCCCATAGCACATTTTACTTAATGTGATATTATATATTTCATTTACTATAAAATATTTTTGCAATTATATGATTAAAGTTGGTTTCCCTGAAGGACTGTAAGTTTTATGAGAGGGGAAAACATGCCTGCTTTCTTCAGCATTGTATCCCTGTGTTACATGTGTACAGCTGTATGTGCTGTATCCCTAAGACCAGCACAGTCCCAGGGATATAATAACACCAGATACACAGTATTTGAGTGAATTTTTCACAATGCTTATTAAGACTTCTGGCATCTGCTCTTAAGATAATACATGTTTACTTCTTTTCAGGTACAAGCAGAGTTAGGATAGCAAGTTCATATAGCCCATCACAATGGCAGGATTTTGTAAGCACATAATGAGACATTTTGATGTCAGGATGAAGTACACACTCTTGTTACCTCTTTTCCCACTTCTTGTGCCCCAGAAACTTTCATTTTACCATGTGTTGTCTTTCCTGCAGACCTTTGTACATATCACTTGCATTGCCTGGATTCTCCCATCTCCCACGTCTATCACTTGGTTAACTTCAAGTCATGGTTTAGATGCCCCTTTCTTCTCTAGAATCCAAAGTCCTGGTTAGGGGGTTGCCCCTTGCATATTTTCATTTTAACTATCCCTTTCTATTCTAATTATTTAGTTGTTCATTTCTTCTACTAGACTGTAATTCTTTGAGGAAAGGACTACGTCTTATTTATTATTACATACAAATTATGTATTGTGATATCTGACATACAGGAGGAATTCAACAAATAAATATTGCATAAATGAATTAAAATACCTATTATCGAAAATGTTTTTTATTGAATTCTTTTAGTAATTTCATATGATTTTTCAGGTAAGATAATGATAATATTCTAAGATAAAATAGCTGAATTGAGAACAACTATTGTTATCCATATACCTGAGATCAGCTATCAATTAATAATATATTTCAAATTATTTGTAAACAATTTCATGAGTAAATATAAACGTTTTAGGAATAATGTGTAAATTTATAGAGAAAAGAATGCAGTTGACATATAAGAAAATGGACACCTCTAAGTTTTTCAACCACCCATATTTGTTGTAAAGAATTAGGCCTTTAGAAATTCAAAATTTGTAATACAAATCACAAATTTACAGAGAGATCTGCCCTTTCCATCAGCTTCTGGAAGGTAACATGTAGTATTCTTTCTTTGCCTGGGCATCTTGGGTCATATTGAATAGTTCTAACCATGTGATTTAAGGTGGCAGTTAGCCACACCTGTATAGTTTTAGAGTAGGGGCTGACCATGCCAAAAAGACTAACATTGTGGCTTAGGGTAGGGGCTTTGGGTCATGTGTTATCAATCAACCTAGATATTGAGATTAACCATTTGGGCAATCAATCAATCAATCAATGCCTACATGATTAAGCCCTGGTTAAATCTCTAGATATCAAAGCTCAGGAAAACATCCTTGGTTGACAATACTCTGTGCCTACTGCCACAGACCAAAGCTGGTAGAGTAATGCATCCTGACTCCATGGGGAGAGAACAATGGAAGTTCTATCTTTGGAACGTCTCCTGAACTCTTCCCTATGCATTTCTTCCCTTCGTTGATTTTAATATGCATGCTATTCAGGTAATAAATTGTAACCATGAGCATAATAACTTTCAGGGAATTCTGTGAGTTCCCTCTAGCACAAGGAAACTGAGGCTGGTTTTGGCAACTCCTGGAACTTGCAGCTGGTTTCAGAACTGAAGATGGTCTTGAGGGCTCTGCCTGACTTTGTAGTTGGCCAATTCTACATATCATACTAAATAGAATTCACCTAAGTGGGGGGGGGGGGGGGG